CTGATTCGGGACTGTTGGCTAACTGTGATGCCGTACCCTTGGCTCGGCTTGAGCATGTTGAGCTTTTGAACAGGTGTAAGGGTGGTCTGATCTCGGGATGCCTCATTGAGCCTCAGGCGTCGACGTGGAGAGCTAAGGGAGAGGAGAATTTGTGTAGATCCAGCGAGCGCCCGTGGGGGCGTTTCCACATATCGAGCAACGTCGCCGACATGGTGGTTGACCAGAACAACCAGTTGATTAAGGGGCTGCAGCTTGCTTTGTTTTGTACTGCCCATGATGTTCCCTCTCTTATTGTTGTCCCATCTGCTCTCTCTCCTGCGTTGCCCGCGCCCTCCAAGTTGTCGTTGGTCACGGATGTATATCGAATCACAGTAAGGTCCGCCACGTTATTGTTGATCTCTGCACCTTTGGGTCGCCACATAGCCTGCCCACTTTAGTGGTTTCCTTGAGGTCGATGTCACTTGAGCTTCTCACCCCTGGGATTTGCGGTGGCAGATGTCACCACGAGACGCGTCACTCCCCGCCGCCCCTTGAACACCCTGGCACGTTGACCCCTGCAGCCTTAGGAGTGGCGGCATCAGTGCTTCAGTGTGCTGCCAGGTCTCGGGTCAGGTGAGCTGGCGGCTTGGTCCCCCTTCCCCTCTCTTGCACGTGCATGATAGGGGGTACTGTCTTCGCCTTCCCACTCTCTACAGTATGCATGGGCTTCGAACCCTCTTTGTGCCCTCAGCGAGCGAGCGAGCGAGCGAGGAGGAGGAGGAGGAATCTTTCTCTCTGCCCCGCTGCTGCGGTTGCCGCCCTCAGTTCCCGTCTCGCCGCTCCCTGCCCCCCCTCCCCCTCCGGGGGCACGAAGGTAGCTGCGCGGTGCGACAAGCAGCTGTAGCTCATGCTTACAACTCTTCCACATATTCCATGGTTCCATGTGCACGCACACTTCCATGCAGCGCTCCAGAGTGCGCGACCAACCCGCCCCGCATGGCGGTCTCCTGTGGGCCCGCCGCAGCGGCGCGGGCACGGCCGGCGGCCAAGCCGGCCCCCCCACCCCCCTTGCCTCGCTTTTGCCCTCCCCTCCCCTCCCCCCTCCTTCCCGGCAGGCTGCGAAGCGTCCATCAAAGTGTGGTTATGTGCAATGACCAGGTCTGCCTGAGATTCTAGAGTATGACTTGCTGCCGCCGCCGTCAGGATCTCGCCGCACAGAAGAGCCGAGCCGAGCCGAGCCGAGAGCGAGCCCTCCTTCCTTTCCCTTTCATGCCTCCCTGCGCTGTGAAAGAATTATCCTGGCGAAGGATCCAACCATATGCAGTTGTGAGTAACGCGTTGTGGGTGCCGCTTTCGGTGGAGCTCCCTATGGGGCCACAACGAGCGAGGGACGTGCCGTAATGGGGGGGAGACGCATGCGGGCGGTGCCACTGGGGCCTTCGGTGGGGCTCCCTCTGGGCCACGAAACGTGCCACTGGGTCTTTCTGTGGAGCTCCCCATGGGGCCACGAAGCGCTGAATTGGGTGTGGCGGTCGCATGTGGCCATCCCCACTGGGGCCGCGGGTGGAGCTCCCTATGGGGTCACGAAGCGCTGCACACTGGGTGTGGCGGACGCATGTGGCCACCCCCACCGGGGCCTTACGTGGAGCCCCTGTATGGGGCCACGAAACGCTGTACTGGGCGTGGCGGACGCATGTGGCCACCCCCACTGGGGCCTTGGGTGGAGCTCCCTGTGTGGCCACGAAACGCTGTACTAAGTGTGGCGGGCGCATGTGGACACCCCCACTGGGGCCTTGGGTGAAGCCCCCTATGGGGCCACGAAACGCTATACTGGGTGTGGCGGACGCATATGGCCACCCCCACTGGGGCCGCATGTGGAGTTCCCTATGGGGCCACGAAACGCGGTACTGGGTGTGGCGGACGCATGTGGCCACCCCCACTGGGGCCTTGGGTGGAGCTCCCCATGGGGCCACGGGGCGCTGTACTGGGTGTGGCGAACGCACGTGGCCCCTCCCCCTTCTGGGGCCTTAGGTGGAGCTCCCGATGGGGCCACGACACGCGGTGCTGGGTGTGGCGAACGCATGTGGTCCCCCCCTGAAGCCTTAGGTGGAGCTCCCTATGGGGCCACGAAGCGCCGTAATGGGTGTGGCGGACGCATGTGGTCCCCCCCGCCCTGGGGCCTTACGTGGAGCTCCCTATGGGGCCACGCAGCGCCGTACTGGGTGTGGCGGACGCATGTGGTACCCCCGCCCTGGGGCCTTACGTGGAGCTCCCCATGGGGCCACGAAACGCTGTACTGTACTGAGTGGAGGAGGAGGGGGAGGAGGAGGAGGAGGAGGAGGAGGAGGAGGAGGAGGGGGAGGAGGAAGGAGGAGGAGGAGGAGTAAGTGAGTGAGTAAATAAGTGAGTGAGTGGGACGCGGGGCGCTGCCTTCTCAAAACGAGGACCCAACACCACAGGACGGTTGGGAAATACCGAAAGGCAGGGGGGCAAGGGCCGAGAGAGGCCAGGCAGGGGGAGGGCAAGCGACGGCGGGCGAGACACCCCCCGGGGCCGAGGAAGGCATGGGCGCGAAGTCGCGGGGGGGGCGAGAAATGGGGGGGGGGGGGGGGGGAGAAGCGTGCCCTGCTCGGGCCCGAAAAAGCTCCCTTGGGGGCCCTACAAGGGCCCCTTTAGGGGCCTCCTTTATTGCCCCCCCCCCCCGCCCCCCCTCCTCATTTTATCGCCCCCCTTGCAGCCCTCGCTGCCCCCCCCATTTATCGCCCCCCCCCCCCAAGGCATGGGGAGGAAGAGCACCCGGACATCCGTCCTCCTCCCCGTCCTCAATCTCCCCTTTTCCCCCTTCACGGGGGGGTCAGGTCAGGACAGACGGGGGGGAACGTGGAGGTCCACGACCCGGCTAACCTCGACATTTTGGCCTGAGCGTGCTCCAAGACAGGCCTGGATATGAATCCTGAACGATGGTCTCACGACGTGCGGGCGCATAGAACACATGCGGCGGGCTCATGCTGATTCTGCTGCTCCTGATCCGGCTCCCGCCCGCTCTCGTCGTTCCTCCTCCCTCCGGTTCATCCGCCCCCCCTCTCTCCTTCCACCTCGTCGCCCTCCCCATCATCAAACCTCCTCCTCCCCCTCATGGCTTTGCATCTTCCTCCTCCTCCACCGCCTCCTCCTTTTCCCCTCCTCCTATTTCTCCTCCTCCTCCTCTTCCTTCTCGTCTTCCTCCTCCTCCCCTCTCTTCCCGTCCTTGTCGTACCTGTCCTCCACACCTCATCTTCTTTATCTTCTCCTCACTCTTCCCTCGACACCCTTCCTCCTCCTCCTCCTCCTCCTCCTCCTCCTCCTCCTGCTCCTCCTCCTCTTCCTCCATCGGCATCTTTCCCGTGCCATCATGCAAATGCTGTGTATTTCTCTCTAGCTCTTTCTCAACGAGCCCTCCTCCTGTTCCTCTTCGCATCGGCGTCATCGCAAAGGCGCCCGATGGCGGCCATGACCATCGCGGAGCCCACCGTGGAAGGGTACAGGAGCCGCTCCCCGACAGTCACCCCGACAACGAAAAACCTGGCACGCCCGCGGGTGGAAGGATGGCGATGATAAACACGCGGAAGGAGGAATAATAGGATGAGAATGAGGATGAGGATGAGGATGAGGGTCAGGATGAGGATGAGGAGGAGGATGAGGATGAGGATGAGGATGAGGATGAGGAGGAGGAGGAGGAGGATGAGGAGGAGGAGGAGGAGGCAGGTAGGTAGGACAGCCCCGAAGGGAAGAGCCCCGCGGGGCTAAGCGGGCGGCGCCGACGGGGTGGCGCACTGGACCACACGAGGATCCGCCACTTCCGCCACCCTCGGCGCCGCTTTTTGGGGCTCTTGGGGGGTGGCGCTACGGACCACACGAGGATCCGCCACTTACGCCACCCCCAGGATACCCCGAACTCTCAGACACGAACGCAAGACGAGGAAGCGGCTCGCGCGCGACAGGCCGACCGTCGGCCGCGAGGCGGATAAGAAGTCCTCGTCGATGAGCTTGTCGATCACATCGAGGAGCTCCAAGAGGAGGAGGAGGAGGAGGAGGAGGAGGAGGAGGAGGTGGAAAAGGAGGAGGAGGAGGAGGAGGTGGAAAAAGATGAGCTGGTTCGCGAGGCTGTCGAACTAGCTCGCGAACGCGTCTTGCAGCTGGTTCGCGAGGCTGTTGAACTCGCTCGCGGACGCGTCGATGATCTTGTGGGCCACTTGCTGTTCGGCACATTGCTAATGGAGGTCAGCGAGCTCACGTCGAGCTTCATGCGTCCACGCGGAGCGCACCTCCACCGGGGCCGTCTTCATTGCAGCCCTGTCGATTGGCAGCGTAGGTCCAGCAGCAAGGTCAACAGGAGTTGCGGCGGCGCGCTCCAGTGCGAGCTTCCCGATCTCTTGCTTCGCGCGGTCGGCCTTCTTGTGAATGATCGTCGCGGCGTTGCGCACCGTCTGGTCGGCGTTCGACATCGCGGCGAGCGTCGCCAGCCTCGCCGAGTGGTGGGGCGTCCCAATGACGACGTCGTGCTGGGCGTGCACCTCCATGGACTCGAGGATGACCTTGACGCCGCCGACGAGCCATAGCGGCACTGATATCCAGCGGCGCGTCGGCTCCGGCCATGGGATCAGGTAGCCGCGCTCGATCGCGCGGGCCCGCCGGGCGGCGCGCGCCATGGCGGAACGCTTGTGAGGCGTAGGTATGGAAAGAAGGGGAGGGCACTACGCGGGGCGGCGCTCGCATCACAGTCACCGAACCATCGGTGGACGTGAGCCAAACTGGCAACGGAGGAGGAGGAGAACGAGGAGGAGGACAGGGGGAGGAGGAGGAGGAGGAGGAGGAGGAGGAGGAGGAGGAGGAGGAGGAGAAGGGAAACGAGGAGGAGGAAGAGGAGGAAGAGGGCGAGGAGGAGGAGGAGGACGATGACGAGGACGAGGAAGAGGACAGCCATATGCCGCTGGTCCAGCCCTGGCCTGTCAGTCGCGCCGGCCCGCGCGGGGCGCGCCCCCTCACACGGCGCACTTCTTGCCGCCGGGCGACGCGGCGACGAGGGTGGCGCGCGCCCCAAGCGCGAGGAGCCCTGCGACGGCCGCCGCGGCCAGCATGGTGTAGTCCTGCAGAAGGTAAGCAGAGGTGTGCACATGCACCGATCCTGCCCAGGCCAATCCTGGGCCCAAGATCTCGGAGACACTGGCCCGGGTCAGTGCAGACCCAGACCAGTCGGGCCCTGCAGGATCCTGCAGGATCCTGCGCCCAAGCCTGGGTCAGTGCGGCCCTGGCCCTGCAGGATCCTGCGGGATCCGGCGCTCTGGCTGGCCCCCGTTGGCGCGGACCCCCGTCTCCTGAGCCCCGAGAGCGTGTGCGGGCAGCCCTCCCGGGCTGGCCGGGGAGGTAAGCGGCCTCTGGCCCTGGCCTGGGCTCGGAAGGGGGGCTTCGGGCAGGGTGGGCGCGCGTGCGCGGTTTCTCCTCGCCCGAGGTCCAGCAGCTCGAGCGCGACGAGGGGCAGGACGCAGGCCACCAGCAGCAGTGCGAGGCGCGCCCGCTTCGCCCACTCCTCCCGGCCGCGCGCAGGAGTGGCCCCTATCCGGGCAGGGAGTGGCCTCTGGCGCGCGGCCGGCCGATCGTGGCACGCGGGGCGACCAGGGAGCGCCGATCAAAAACGGGTCGTATACCCGAGATGGCACAGCGACCTTACATACGCGGCGGCTTACGCAGGCCGCCGGCGCGGCATGGCAGGCTGGAGGCCAGGGCGCTTACGCGCGACCCTGCGCGAGCAGCTTACGCGCCGATGTCGGCGCAGAGGGCCCCGTTTTGCTGCGTCGCTCAAGTGGCTCGGAGCAGGGCGGGTCGAGACAACGGCAGCTCGAAACCACTCCCGGGGCCCTGGACCCCTCCCTGGGCGCGAATGCGCAGCAGTGTCCCGAGCTGCGCTGAGCCGTGGCGGCGAGGAAGGCCAGCCACCGTTGCCCCAACTTGCCCTCCTCCGAGCTGCCTGGGTTGGCCCCCGAAGGAAGGAAGGAAGGAAGGACGGAAGGAAGGACAAATAATGAAGGAACGAAGGAGGAGGAGGAGGAGGAGGAGGAGGAGGAGGAGGAGGAGGAGGAGGAGGAGGACGGAAGGAAGGAAGGAAGGAAGGAAGGACGGAAATAATGGAAGGAAGGAAGAAAGGAAGGAAGGAAGGGAGGCACGGAAGGAAGGAAGGAAGGACTGACGAGCGCCTCAGGAACGCAGCGCACCTCGGGCCCTCCTCGGGCGAAGGGGCCACCCTTTTTGCGTGCCTCCGAGCTCCTCCCGCGGGCCCTCCTCGCGAGCACCGCCATAGGGCACGCCCCGCCACCCCGCGGCGCCGGCGGGAGCCCTTTGCCCCGGGAGACCCCCGCGGGGGAGGGGGCGGCGGGGGCTCCGACCAGTGCTCACGGCTTCCGACCTTGCAGACGTGCCGCAGCGGACTTCTGCGTGGATTCCTGCCAGCGTTAAAAACCCTGAAGCGGCGAGAGCGGAGAGCGAAGCGAATTTCGCGTGGACTGTTTGGAGTCTTCGCTTCTGGGGAAAAGAGCCCGCCCGAAATTCGCTTCGAAATCCAGCGCGAAGCTCTCCAGGACGATCCAGGCCCATCCCGTTGCTTTCCGAACGAAGTCCGACCCGGCCCTCGACACTCGCGTATATGCGTGGGCCCCCGGGGGGCCTCTCGCCTCCTTCTCGGGGCCAGCTCCTCGTCCGGCGCGTTTGCGCTGCCAGTCCCGTGGTCCGAGACCCCCCCGGCCTCCAGAGGCCACCGAGGGCGACAAACTGGGCGCCTCGATTTTCCCCGGGGCCCCCCCAAGCCTTGGCTCTTTCCAACATGAGCCTGTTTTTGTTTGTTGCACCCCGGCACGTTTACTTGCATGAGCGGGGGGGGGGCTTGAACCTGCAGTGAGCCGCAGACGCCTTGCACGCGCGGAACCAGCGCAAGTCGAAGTGCACTTGCACGCAGAGATGTTCGTCTGAAGAGGGGCAGGGTGTGGGGGCGGGGGGGGGGGGGGGGGGGCGAACGCCATGCAAGTAAACTTGCCCGAATCTGCGAAAAAACATGCCCAAGCCCCTGGAGGTCTAGACCACTTACCAGAGTCTCTCACCCCGAGCCGTCCTCCGACGGCTCCCGGGCATGCTGATGACAGGGCCCCCCGGAGGCCGCGGCATGGCCCAATAGGCCTCTCGCCGTGACCTCTCTGCCACGGCGCGAGCTGGGCCCACCGCTCCCCGAGAGCGGCCCCCGAGATCCCGGGGACGCGACCCTGGCAGGCGGCTCGGCTGCAGGCAGAATAATTAACCAGCTTTCACAGAACACTTCGCAGGTCCGCGCTGCGATGTCTCTCGGCTCGGGGGCAATATCCTCCCCCCCCCCCCCCTGGCGCGCCCGCTCCCTGGGAGAGGCCGAGAGCGTCCCGGCACCCTCGGGACGCTCGCGGCGAGGTGCTCTCCCGGCGGCAGGGCACCCCGAGGCTGGCACGCCGCCGCGAGAGCCGCCGCGAGGGCCCGACGGCCTCGAGAGCCTCGACCCCGAAAAACGCGGCCCCCGACGCGCGGCTCTGGAGGCGCGGCGTGTGCCCTGGCGGCGGGGTCCTCGGGCACCCCGTCCAGCACGCCCCGGAGGCCCGAGCCCCGGCGCGGGCCCGGCGCCTCCTGGCCGCGGGGGCCCACGGCGTGCGCGCCGGCGGCCGCGGCCAGCGCGGCCACGACCTCTGCGGAGGGGTCGGGGCTCGGGGTTTGAGGATGTTCCCTAAGGGCTTGTCGACTTTTCGCCGATCGACTTGTGGGGAGCGAGCCAGAAAAATCCAGGTGAATGCAGATAAATCGAGGTACATCCAGATAAATCCAGGCAGATCGAAACAAATCCGGGTAAATCCAAAGATCTCCGAGGAAAGGTGAAGCAACTCGCGGCCGCTCCAGCGCGAGTCGAAGGACGGCAGAAGTCGTTAAGCCTTTAACGAGATGTGGGCTCCCGAAGCCTTCGATCCATGAGAACGCATCCTGGCAGGAAGTCCTTTTCCTCAGTGTTCGGCCTCTGGGGCCCCCTGCCCAGCCTCGGGGCCGTCAAACAGCGGCTCGGACTGGTAAGACTGTCCCGCGGAACAGGTCCAGACCTCTGGGGGTCGACGTTCGGGCGAAGGACCCAGGCGCGTGCAATTGCGAGTACCGTCGTCGTGAGTATCGCCTCAAGTGGATGTCCTTACGCGGCCACGAGGCGTGCGATGGGCGTGCCGAAATGTGTGCGGCGGACGCATGCGGGCAGCGCCACTGGGACCTTCGGTGGAGCCCCCGATGGAGCCACGAAACTTGTAACGGGTGTGCCCGACTGGGTGGCGGGGGCGCACGCGGGCTGCGCCAGTGGAACCTTCGGTGGAATTCCCTACACGGCCACGAAGCGTTTGAGGGGTGTGTACAAGCTGATGGTGATGATTGTGATGATGGCGGCGATGATGACGACGATGGTGGTGATGATGACGGCGACGACGATGATAGATGATGATGACGATGATGCTTTGCTCCATCATAGGACCGACAGCAATGACAGGGTGACAGCCGATGAAGCCCGTATCCCGTAGCATCCAGGCAACACTGCGCAGTGCTTCGGGCGCGAACGACGCCAAACCATCTCAGCCTCTGCTGGATGGGCGCCACCGCAAGAAACCACGCAGAGCAGGAGTGGGGAGGAGACGATCAGGCGCGATCAGTCGGGTCGGGCGAAAGGGGGGGATAGCAAAGGGGGGGGTTGAGAATCAGCTCACGTAGCTGATTTTCCCGGCGCCTCCCGGCGCCGGAGGCGACTATGTATCGAGGAATGGGCCTCTCGGTGAGGCCGAAACCAGCTGCATGCAGCAAATTTCGTACCCCCCCCTTTCCCAATCCCCCCCTTTCGTCCGGCCCGAATCAGGCAATACACTACGCTCGCCACCCGACACGATCGGGGAGCCATCAAGATGGAATATCGGCGGTAACCACGGGCGGAAGTTGGTCAGGGCCTCGCGCGCGGGCGAGGGTGGACAAAACAGAAACGAGCCGATGCGTGCAGCCACAACCTAGTTTGGGCGCCCGAGTTATCCGGGGTCACTCGGGTCCGGGGTAACTCGGGTTTGGATTCCCGAAAAACGAACCCGAGTTATCCCTGACCCGAGTTACCCCTGATGATTCGGGGCTCTGGACGCCCGAGTTATCCGGGGTAACTCGGGTCCGGGGTAACTCGGGTTTGGATTCCCAGAAAAGGAACCCGAGTTAGCCCTGACCCGAGTTACCCCTGATGATTCGGGGCTCTGGACGCCCGAGTTATCCGGGGTAACTCGGGTCCGGGGTAACTCGGGTTTGGATTCCCGAAAAACGAACCCGAGTTATCCCTGACCCGAGTTACCCCTGATGATTCGGGGCTCTGACTAGTCGCATCCAGTGTGCGCCATGGATATGGCGACCGCTGATCACACAGAGGCGATGGGGTCGGACACCACCCGCGGCACACCAGGCAGACTTTGCGACCGTCCCGGGAAGACGAAGGCGGCAGCAGCATCCCGCCAACGCGCCCGCCCAAGAGAAAAAAAACGGGCGGCGCGGGTCGCGAACAGAGAGGCACTCTCTCGCAGAAGAGAGCAGTCAAGGGGCAGGCAGGTCTGTCAGCTCAGAGACCAACGCCTCCGAGCCATTGCGAGCCATCGCACCCTCGAGCAGATCGGGGTACAAAAACAGGAAGCCCCGGCCAAGGGCAACCCAGCCACCAGCAGCAACAGCAGCAGGAAAGGCACAGCGGAACAGCAGCAGGAAGGACACGCAGGAGAGGGCGCACGTCAACAGCACCAACGACGACAGCAGAAACAGCAGAACAACACACGGGGGAACACAATAGGGCAAACACAAAAAACATACCCAACAACGACGCAGAGCGGAACGCTCGAACATGTCAGGGCATCGTGCGCGCAAGAGAAGCTGTACCCAGCTTCGAGCAGGGACATGGGACGCAAGAGAGACAAGCGGAGACAACATGTGAATTATATTCACCCACAGGGCTACGGACGTGTCGAATAGCAGCTCGAGTCGGGAGGTGTCGCTGCATCATCAATCTCGGCCTGCCTTCAAAAATGTGCTTGAACGACGCCCCCCCCCACGGAACAGTCTGCAACCGCAACTGGGAGCGGGTGTGAACGAAACATTCGACCAACGTACAAATGGTGGCAACACGCTTAGTTTCGGGAGCACGACCGTCGACACAGCAGAGGGCAGGGAAAGGGGAAGCGAGGCCGAGAGGGAATAGGGGCGGGCCCAAGTCGAGAACTTCCAGCAACTCGGGACAGTGATGGTAGTGAGAATGATCGTCGGGACACTTGCGACATCAAAAGAAACAACGATTAGGATGAGGACGAAATCGAGCCAAAGTTCAGGCCCCTCGGCACAGGACCCTCAGGACCGCAACAACGAAACACATCGAAACAGCCCGACAGACTTTACGCATTCTAACATGAGAAACCGGAAGCCACACTGCAGGAAGGGGACAGGAAATCCACTTCAACACTCGTCTGGGAAATTCGCCAACCATCACGCCAGACTGCTCCGTTTCGCTCAGGGCACTAGTGAGCCGTGCTTATGTCAGAGACGCTTGGTAGTCAGGGCAACTCTGCACGGCGAGTGGGGGCGTCTTCTGAAACACCGCTCCAATGTCCGAAAACGAACTCACAAACCAACCACGGGATCATCGACCATGATGAACTCCCAAAGAATGGTCAAGAATCTGCCGCAAGTCAGTTTGGAGCCGTGGCCATGCCTAGGGCCCCTGAACAGTGCGATATACATACGCTCGCGCCACATGACGAGTCGAGGCGCACCGTGCGTTGCAGCCTGCATCCCCATGACTACGCACCATCATGCCACTGAATCTATCGAGGGCACGGTGACGACGACGACGGCGACGACGATGATAATGATGGTGGTGGAGGTGATGATGATGATGGTGATGCTGATGATGGTGATGATGATGATGATGCTGCTGCTGCTGCTGATGACGATGGTGGTGGTGATGCTTATGGTGCTGAGGATGACGCTGATGGCGATAATGACGATGCTGCTGATGGTGTTGATAATGCTGGTGCTGATGATGTTGCTGATGATGATGCTGCTGATGATAATGGTAATGATGATGCTGATGATACTGACAATGCTAGTGATACTGCTAATGCTAATGCCAATGCTAATGGCAATAAAGGAGGAGGAGGAGGAGGAGGAGGAGGAGGAGCGAGGAGGAGGAGAAGGAGCGAGGAGGAGCGAGGAGGAGCGAGGAGGAGGAGAAGGAGGAGGAGGAGGAGGAGGAGGAGGAGGAGACGGAGGAGGAGGAGGAGGAGGACGGAGGAGGAGGGGGAGGAGGAGGAGGAGGAGAGGAGGAGGAGGAAGGAGGTGAGGAGAGGAGGAGCAGGAGGAGGTGGAGGAGGAGGAGGAGGAGAGGAGGAGGAGGAGGAGGGAGGAGGAGGAGGGGAGGAGGAGGAGGAGGGAGGAGGAGGAGGAAGGGGGAGGAGGAGGAGGAGGAGGAGGAGAAAGAGGAGGAGAAGAGAGAGGAGGAGGAGGAGGAGGAGGAGGAGGAGGAGGAGGAGGAGGAGAGGTGGAGGAGGAGGAGAGGAGAGGAGGAGGAGGAGGAGGAGGAGGGAGGAGGAGGAGAGGGAGGAGGAGGGAGGAGGAGGAGGAGGAGGAGGAGGAGGAGGAGGAGGAGGAGGAGGAGGAGGAGAGGAGGAGGAGGAGGTGGGAGGGAGGAGGAGGAGGAGGAGGAGGAGGAGGAGGAGGAGGGGAGGAGGAGGAGGAGGAGAGGAGGAGGAGGAGGGGAGGAGGAGGAGGAGGAGGAGGAGGAGGAGGAGGAGGAGGAGGAGGCGGAGGAGGGAGGAGGAGGATGAGGACGAGGAGGAGGCAGAACGCTCTGGAACGACTCATGTCCCTGCCCTGGCCCCGCCCGAAAAACGGGGGCCAGGTCGCGCCGGAACACGGTCCCAGGCAGCCGAAGGGATGCGCTCTCTTTCCTCGATCCGCGGCCCCAGAGGCCCAGGGGTCGCGACCCCCATCCCTGGGGCTCTCCAGGACGAGCAGCGGCATCGGTACATTCTCATCCCCTCGACGCAGGGGCCACGGGGGGCCGCGTCTCGATTTCTTGTAACTTGGATTTGGCATGGGCGTTTTGTTCGCAACCAGCGGCCCCAGACCTCCGACGTCGTGTTTTTTCACAACGTCGACCCCCAGAGGTCTGGACCCCTTGCCCGAGACCAGTTTCTCATCCCGAGTCGTTTCGTGACGGTCCCGAGGCCTCACGAGGGCCCCATGGAGGCTGAAAATGGCGAAAAAACCTCCCGTCATGACTTTTCCACAACGCGAGGTTGTCTCCGTTGGCAACTCCATGGGAGAATCCCATACCATCTTGTCGGCTCTTGCGAATCGACGCCAATCGACGCTAAATCGACGCTCATCGACTCCAGCCGACGCTATGTCACCCCCAACGACGCTACCGAAGTCGTCTGGGGATGCTCACGCGCGTGCACACGCGGCTGCATTGGCAGGGGGCCACATGCGAACCCTACCCCTACCCCCCTCAGAAATCGTGGGGGGTAGGGGTAGGGTTCGCGTGTGGCCCCCTAATTGGGCCCGCGCGGGACCAGCGCCCAGAAGCGGCCTGCACCGCGGCCGGCGCCGGAGGCCAGCGCCTGCCGGTCGCTGGCCGCGCCGGGGGCCTCGGCCGCGGCGCCCGCGGGGCCTGGCAGGGCGAGCCGGCGCCCAGTCGAGCAGTGGGGTCGGAGCGGGTGCGCCCTTTCGAGGTCTTCGGACGTTCGTTTTGTCTGTCTGTCTGTCTGTCTGTCTGTCTGTCTGTCTGTCTGTCTGTCTGTCTGTCTGTGTCTGTCTGTCTGTCTGTCCGTCCTCCCTCCCTCCCTCCCTCCCTCCCCTCCCTCCCTCCTCCTCCCTCCCTCCCTCCTCCTCCTCCTCCTCCCTCCTCCTCCTCCTCCTCCTCCTCCTCATCCTCCTCCTCCTCCTCTCCTCCTCCTCCTCCTCCTCCTCCTCCTCCCTCCTCCTCCTCCTCCTCCTCCTCCCCCTCCTCCTCCCCAACCAGCGGCACGTTCTTTTGATCTCGGCGGCGGGAGCTCCCTCCGTTCCCCCAGGGCGCCTGGCTCAGGGGCAGTCGCTCGCAGGCGCGCCTGGGTTTAACGTACCCTTTTAGAAGACCAGCGGCAGGGCGCCTGGGTCAGGCGCAGTCGCTCGCAGGCGTGCCCGGTTCAATGCACCTCTTTAGCAGACCAGCGGTCCCAGCAGGGTGCGACAGGGAGGAACTTGTCTCGATGTGTCGTTTCGGACGTTCTCGTACATTCCCAAAGGGGTTTCCAGCCTCGGGGCGCTTTCTACATTGTGCGCCTAGCCGGAATTATATTCCAGGGGCGCCCGGATCGTCCCGAACGGCCATCAAAAGACCGAGCTGTGGCCCGAAGGCCAAACATCCCCGCGTTGTGAAAAGATCGGGACGGGTGCTTCTCGGCCGATTCGCAGCCCCCAGGGGTCCTTACCGGGCCCTAGGGCTGTAAAAAATGGCTCGACATGAGAAGGCGAGGGAAGTGGTGGTAAGTATCTCCAGGGGTCTACAGACGAACCACAAGGTGACGTGATTGCTTCCTCTTCAGGGCACGCCACTGCAATAACGGTCATGCTTCGGCGTATTGGTGGCCAAACCGATACAGCCCGTGCCGACATGACATAACATCTGGCGAGCCAGCAGAACGTCAAGCACACCAAGCCGTAACGCACAACCGACGCAAGCGAGCAGCACGAAGAACTCCGTAATCAATCTCATGAATACTGTGCATGGGCGATTTCGGAAACCCTGAACCCAAAAGCGTTTTCATCTCTTGGGGTCACATCTTTTTCTTCCGCCGCCTTCCGCCGAACTTCCGCCGGCGGAGGCGGCCTCGTTTTACTTCCGCCGTCCTTCCGCCGAGGAAGATATGACATCTCTTTCTGTCCTGGAAGGCAAGGCTCTTTTTGGAACGCCACTCGGCAGTCAGGCGTCGTGCCGCAACGTCGACATACCTGGACCCTGCTCTGGATACTTTCAATACCCAGACCCTTCTCGAGACATGAAACAATCACGACTGGAAGTTCGTAGCTATTTTCGGCCTCCAAGGGCCTTCGCCGGGCCTCGGGACCTAACAAAAACCAGCCCGGGGTGAAAAACCGGTTCTGGGGAAGGGGTCCAGACTGAAGGGGCCCTGAGACACACAAAGAAATATACACAAATAACAGAATTCCCTATATGATCGTATATTTTCTGGGTTTTTGTCTTCTCCCCCACTTCCCACATTTTCCCATACTTTCTGGGGAATCGAAGATTAATTGTGTCTGTGTGTTTCTTTCCCTCCTGACAGACCCCTGCAGTCTGGATTTTTCAACACGCTAGGGGGAGACAATTAGTGGACACTCCGCTGCTCCCCCAAGCTCAAAGCTGGCACGCGGCGGGGGGGAGACTGCGCTCGGAAGGCGACTCATCCAACCCACGCCAGCTTTGATCGAGGAGGCAGAGGAGGAGGGGAAGTGGGAGGCGAAGGAGGAGAAGGAGGAGGCGAAGGAGGAGGAGGAGGAGGAGGAGGAGGAAGAGGAGGAGGAGGAGAAGAAGAAGAAGAACGAGGGAGGGGGAGGAAGGAGGAGAAGAAGGGAGGAGAGGGAGGAGGAGGAGGAGGAGGGAGGAGGAGGAGGGAGGGGAGGAGGAGGAGGAGGAGGAGGAGGAGGAGGAGGAGGAGGAGCAGTGGGGGACATTGACAGGTGAATGTGGCATGAGTGCTGGACAATTTCTTCCGAGGCCTCCACGGAGCCCCCAGAAGCCCCGACCCTGCCCCCCGGGCTGGCCCTTCGCCCCGAGCCGCTTCCGCACGGCCCTATGGGGAGCGGCGAGCAACCCCGGCGGCCGCACACGGCCAACCAAAAACCTCCCGTCGTGCTGCACTTTCACGACGGCGAGCAGGTCTGGGAGCCGAGCCGCACGGGAGCGGGCCGGCCGGCGTCGATCGGTCGAGCACGTCGCGACCCGACGTTGGGCCCCCGGCCTGTCGGGGCGGAGGCCGCGGCGCCGGCCGGCCCCCGCGAGGCGAAGTGCTCGTCCGCGGTGGTCCAGGGCAGCTCCGCGCTGCCGCCCAGGTCCACGGGGCAGGACTCCATGTGCGCCTGCTGCGCGCGGGCGGTCCGAGCCTCCGAGGGCCGCCGGGCCGCCGGGGCCTCTTTGGGGAGAGCGCCCCCGAGCGGCCACGGCTGCACGCAGCAGCCCAATGCGGAGCACGGGCCCTCGATGGCTCGATGGCCGTTGCCGCCGCCGCCGTCGTCGCCACTGTCGTCGTCGTGGTCGCCGCCGCCACCACCGCCGCCGTGGGCGTCGTCGTCGACGGCTGCACGCAGCCAATGAGACACACTGGCCCTCGATGGCCCCCTCGAGGGGCCTGGGGACCGGCTTTGAGCAGAGAGAAGCGTTGGTCTCGGGGTTGCGCGAGGGCGTCGCCACTCCGAGAAGGCATCTGCGGGTTCTCCTGCAGAAGAGCGCCCCCCCGATCGCCCCGCGCCGCGTCTTGCGCGCGCGCGCGCGCCGCGGGCCTGCATCTCCTCGGCGGACGCCAGGTTGCTGGCGTGGCCTGTCTCCTGCATCCACTCGTCCGGCGTCTGCGCGCCGGCGGTGCCGGGCTCGTGCGGGTAGGGGCACTCGCGGGGGTAGGCGTGGTGCATCCACTGGGCGAAGAGGCGGCTGTGCAGCGGGACGAGGCCGCCGTTGCCCGCCGCGACCTCCAGGAGGCGGCTGCGCAGCTCGCCCGGGAGGGCGCGCGGGGCAGGCACCGTGTCCGACGCCAGGGCGGCCACCAGCCGCAGGACGCGGTCCGGCGCGGCGTTCGGCGCCCCGATCTCCTTCTCGAGGCGGCCCAGGAGGTCTTCGCACTCGTTCTGGCAGCACAGGGAGTAGATGCCAGAGGATTCGAGGCAGTTCATGCGGCCCATGACGTAATTGGGGACGATCACCATGGGCTTCGTCGCGTTGGTCTCGTCCAGGGCACCGATCCTCCTGAGGTACTCGGCCTTCTCGGTGAACCTCCAGTGGCTGTGCATGCTCTGGTTGTAGAACGCAGAGAGCTGCACCCTGCCTGCTTTTCGGTCCTCCAGCTCCAGCATCGTCGACTTCAGACTCTTGCACTCCAGGTCGTTCAGGGTGTGGTACTTCTCGCCCATGGCGACGGCCATCCGCGACGTGGCGCTGATGTCATACGTCCCGTCCGGCGCCGAGCTGTTCTCCATGATGTTGGCCGCGAACCAGTCCTTCGCGGCATCCCAGTCCTTGTACTTGCTCACGAAGATCTGCTGCTTCCTGTGCACCTCCGCCGGGGTCTCCGCGGAGAACTTGTTGGCCACCAGGAAGGACAGGAAGGCGGTGAACATGACGTCCTCCGCCTGCCCGCGCTCGAGGCTCCCCGCGGGGTCGAGCTGGAGCACCTCATAGGCCAGGCGCAAGCGGTCCACCGCCTCCTTCTGCACCAGGTCCTCCAGCGCCGCGGCCAGGGCCGCGAGGTCGTGGAGCCCGGCCCCGCGCTCGTCCGACCGCGCCTCGAGGCCGGCCTGCAGGTAGGCGGGCAGCCAGTCCTGCGACACGTTGTCGACGGTGCCGTTGGGGCTCGGGGCGGGGCCGTTCGGGTCGAGGCCCTTGTGCGGGGCAGCGTTTCGGAGGGACCAGCTCAGGGCGATCGGGCCCCTGTTTCAGGCGATCCATGGTCGAGTGGGGTCGATGCGTCCCCCCCTGACGTTCCCCCTGACCCCCCCCCCCCTAAGGCTGCCCCTGGCCTTGATGTACCACCCGTGCCGCTGCACGAACAGGCGGTGGAGCGCGTAGCGGACGGCCTGGTGCTCCAGGTGGCCGTGCTCGTCCTTCGGCAGCGCGGAGTGCATCGGGCGCAGGGCGTCCTCGAAGGCCGCCACGCGGGCTGCGTGGCCGTCCTCGAGCTCCGAGCGCAAGGCGGCGTCCGCGTCCTGGCGGGTCACCTGCCCGGCGCGCAGGAAGCTTGCGCCGTGGCTGGGCGGGACGGTGCAGAGGAGGAGGGCGGCGGCGGCGCTGGCGGCGCGGGTGAACGTCACAGCTGCCGACGACATGGTTCCTGCAGGAAAGCGACGGGACCGGACAATCCGGGCGGAATTGGCAGACTACCGTGGCGATAGGCTTGGGCCAGAGTTGCTGCGCAAGTTTCGTTGCGCTGATTCCCTCACTCACCGCTAGAACCACACGCGCGCCTCGCGCGCTGAGGTTCAGCCGATCCACCACCGATCATGGTGCTAGCAAACGGAAGGTTCTGAACAAGTGTAGCGCTGGCAATCTCATGCCCACGACCATACCATGGGCACTGGGTAGAGTCGCGTGTCACCAGGTCCCTTCGTCGTACATGTACTCAGTGTCGTATGCGCCCTGAGGCCCCAGACTCCTAGTTCGCCGGCGCTCCTGGAGCTTCCCGCGTGACTTGTCCAGGTGCTCTGGGAGCGCAGTTTGGATGCCACACTTCCCGCGTGGCCTTCAGATGGGCCCGGGAGGCATGCGAGAAGATGCAGGCCGCTCCAAGTTTGAACAGGGACCTGCCGTCCTGGCATTCCTGTAGGCCTACCACGAAACTCTCTCAGAGCACAAACATGTTCTAATAGCAGAAACAGTGTTGTTAGAACATGGTGCCGATGTGGGAAAACAAGTCAGTGTCTGCCAGAACTGCTGCAAGAACATTTCGCGCAGACCGCAGAAGGCTCTCAGAATATTCATTGGTGGATTTATGCGGAGGCCAGACCGCTTCGCCACTGCTTGACAAGTTGGCCCATGCTTTTGGCCGCTTGGCCTCCATCGGAGACCCACGTGGGCCACGTCGTGGGCCCACTTGGGGTCTCCAGTGGGCTGCCTCCGGGACTTCTGGGAGCGGGCTCGAACATCCATACTTCTAGCATGGTGACTGACCTGAAAAGGACCCCTAACCCTTTGGGAGGGGACCCAAGTCAGGAGTGCCAACACAAATTAGGGATAGGGGGTCTTTTCAATTCAAGTATCGGACCAAACCGCCCAGGTTTATAATCCCAGATGCGATGACGGGGACCTCAGTGCGGCCGCGTCTTCATCGTGTTATTTGGGTTAGGGGTTCTTTTGTTCTCGTTGACATGGCCACACCTTCGCTCGAGTTTTTACCACGCAGGCGCTTCCAGAAAGGCGTGAAGGCGGCGGCGATGCATCCACCAGAGGCATCTTCGAAACATGTCAAGGAGATGCCCTCTGGAACGCTGCCCACCGCGCTCCTGCATTCGGGAGGCGTGTGAGCGGCGAGGAAGCCTGGCCACCTCCTCCCTCCTGCTCCTCCTCCTCCTCCTCCTGTCCATCTCCTCCTTCTCCTCCTCCTTCTCCTCCTCCTCCTCCTCCTCCTCCAATCTTCCTTCCTCGCTCTTGTCATGCAGTCGCGCGGCTGGCACAAGAGGTGCAGCACAACCGCGCGAACCTTGTTCGCTACAGCGCTGGCTACCCGACGAGTGCCAGAGGAGCCGCCATGGAGCACGGAGCCCCGTTCGCACCCGAACTGTTTCTTTAATATCAGCGCCTTGGCTGTAGCTCATACCCCCTCCCTCCTCCCTCTCCCTCCTCCCTCCCTCCTCCTCCTCCTCCTCCTCCTCCTCCCCTCCTCCTCCCTCCTCCTCCCTCCTCCTCCTCCTCCTCCTCTCCTCCTCCTCCTCCTACCTCCTCCTCCTCCTCCTCCTCCTCCTCCTCCTCCTCCTCCTCCCCTCCCTCCCTCCCCTCCTCCCTCCCTCCCTCCCTCCCTCCCTCCCTCCCCCTCCCTCCCTCCCCCCCCTCCCTCCTTCCACCTCCTCCTTACCTCCTCCTCCCTCTGGCCGTAGCTCCTACATCCTCCCGCCCAGACCTCCCCGCACTGCGGAACAAATCGCGACGGGCGGTTTTTCGCTAGCTTCGGCCTCCCAAAGGCCCTTCCCGGGCCTCGGGACCGACCACCAAAAACGACGCAGGACAAAAAACCGGTCCTCGGGACGGGGTCCAGACCTCCTGGGGGACATGTCGTAGCAAAATCACGACGTCGGGGGTCTGGGCTCCCCAGCCTCCGAAACAACAGTCGGCCTCGAATCAGGCCGTCGGGGTCGGGTCGGAACCTGCGGCAGGAAAGGGGCTGCATCGGCACACGGTCGGAACCGAATCGGATCGGGGATCGGCTGCGCGAAACATTTTGCGCAGCATAAGCATCGGGCCGCAGCGGATCGCTGGAGCATCGGCATCGATCGGATCGAGCCAGGCGAGTTCGTACCCGACCCGGATCGATCGGATCGGGATTCCCTCCTTTCAATCCCAGCCAGTCAGACCTCCGACGTGGTGTTTTTCTCGCAACGTCGATCCCCAACAGCCTGGACCCTTTCCTTGGCACCGGCTTCTCTTGTCGTCTTGAATCCACCACCGTGCCTCTGGGAACGGAGTGGGCGTGTCTTCCGGTCCTGTAAGTACCCAGCCTGGTATGACAAGAACTGGAAGCGCCGATTTGGTGCATGGGGCTCGTAGGGGGGACAAGCGAATAATGATGGCGACGACAAGGCGGCGGATGTCGAGGATGGCAGCGTGGGCGACGGGAAGGGCAGCGAGGGGGGCGGAAGGAAAACGAGTGGGAAGACAAGCGCGAGAGCGAGGAAGAGATGAAGGACGACTATGATGAGGAACGGAGAGGAGGAGGAGACAAGGACAAGGACATCCGCATTAGCCTACTCGGGTGACCTACGCGCTTCTGTCAAAATCCCCGGCAATTTCTTGTGCCACAGCCCAGCCTGTTCACTAAAGCTGGCAGGGGGCATGCCACGTAGCTCAAGGACCGAGCTCCGAGGTGGCCCCGTAAGAGAGGCCCGCTACCTTACATCACGAGTCCCTTCGGGTCAGTGCGGGGGGACCGGCTGCTGGCCCTTCCGCGCGCCCTCGGGGAGGGGGCGCGCGGGTTTTGCAGGGCGCCCAGGCCAGGGGGGATGAGACGACGACGCGAACTCAAAAGGTGGAGAGGAGGGAGGGACGGAAAACCCGAGACCCCAAACTGTTACTGGGGGGGGCTGCTTATTCTACAGTTTGAATTCCGTGCTCCCCTCTCCCGCTCGGCGCCACTTCTCGGTCGTTCCGAAGATGTCATTCTCGCATCTGTACTCTGGTACCCTGTTGAAGTGACCCACCGTTCCACCTCGAAGAATACAATGTGAGGTAGAGCGTGCTGGAAGTCACGGTATAAGGTAGGGCCAGTGAGGAGCGCGCTGGTGGGCATCCCGATGATCACTTGTTCTCCTTCGACACGCAGTAGTGAACCTGTCGGTACTCCAAAAGATACGTCCCATTGCGATGGCGGTGCAGGCGCTCTGCGGTGCCCATTCTGTCTGTTATGAGTTACACTCCGAGAAACCTCGCTAATGCTCCTCTGGACTGCCTGTGGGCACGGCCTGCTCTCAGCTTGCCTAGAGTAGCACTCCGAGAAACCTCGCTAATGCTTCCTCTTGGCGTGCCAGCGGGCTGCAATGGGTGCGCTCACTGGCGGCCGCTGGAGGAGCTGGCCGTAGTCGTCTCCTCCGACTTGGGGTAGCCGAACTTTTCCGCGAAGATCTCGGTGCCATTAAGAATGGTCTGGGTGCTGCCTGGCGCTCCTTCAGCCTCTTCACATCATCTGGGTCCATGTTGTCCTCGTTGTTCCGTTCCCTAATGGCAGCCTTCATTACTTTGTGGAGGTTATCTTCGTCATTCTTCGCAATCTTCAGCGCCAGCTCGCACCAGCTCTGCACAGTGAAGGCCTTCCTTCCTGACCTCTCCCATTGGTTCACTGGGTGCCTTGCGATGGGGTCGCAACCTTCGATCTTGTGTGTGTCATCGGGAAGGACCATGGGATCAGCGCGAACAGCTCCGCTAGGCTCATCTTCTGGGCCGCGTCGGAGAACTGGTAGTGGCACTCCTTGATGGCGTCGACAAGTTGCTGCGGGAGCCTTTCCGCAACTAGCGCTTCTCATGTGTTTCCCACCTTGAGCACCATCGACGGCCCACCCTTGACCGGGAGAAACTTGTACCCGCACCCGATCTTTGGCCATCCTTCACAGTCGGCCCCGAAAGTCTTCTTCATCTTGTCCACCCATTCCTTCAAGAGCACGTCCTCTGGGTGACCCTCCTGCGCCTTGACGAGCTGCAACCAGTCCACCTTGCACCAGAACTGCCACTTGTCTCCTCTCGAGTTGGGACTGGGGCCTCTCCTCCACAACTTGTTCGAGAAGGCGAGCCCGCACGAGCAGGCTCTTCCCCTCTTTCCGTCCCATCCAGTGCTCCTCCTGCATACGTTGAACAGCTGCGTGTTGTCGCTCCACTTGTCCACGAAGTCCAGCGCCTTGAGAAACTCTGGCTGCTTCTCACCCTTGTTCTTCACCGTCTTGTAATCGCCCACCTCGTGCAGCCCTGTCTCTTTCTCCTCCAACTCCTGTTTTGCCACCTTCAGCGCATCTTCGCCATTGACGTCCATGTCCATGATCTTGCTGAGTAGAAGGTCGTGTTCTTCTGCGCAGCGAAGAGCTTCTGTCATTCTCCCTCCTGCTTTGGTAAAGGCTGCAAATAATACGCCGCGATTCATTTGGCTACCCCCTAGCAGCGCCTTTGCCATCTCCTTTGGCTTCTCTCTGGCGATCTTGTTCCCTTGCGCGCGAGACTTTTTATCCGGACCTCCTTTTTCTGCCAGTCGTGCTTCAGCAGCTTGGATTTGTCCCAATGTCTGGGCTGCCCACGCGGCTCCTCTTGCTTTCCTTTTTTTGTTCGCGGAGGAAGAGGGGGAGGAGGAGAAGGAGAACAAGAAGAAACTTAATACTGATACTAATAAGAACGATAACATACTACCAACAAAAAACAAGTAATAACAATCGGAAGAAGAAACCACAAATAATAATACGAAAAATAAGAAGAACGATGACGACGACGAATCCGCCACCGCGCCTCTTGGCACGGAGTGGGCGTGCCCTCACATCCCTTGCCCAATCCCCTGAGCCTCAATCCTGAGGAATTTTCAAAAGGATCCGGAACTTCTCGTGCCAAATCTTCTGGGTCATTTTCCACGGTTCCCCTGGGGTTC